AACTGTTATCTGCGCTGGTTCAACAAGACAACTGCAGCCTGCGGCCCGGTGAGCGAAATGGGGACTAACTGGAGGGCTGCTCTCTTGATTCCGAGTTCAAGGTAGTTGGGGAATATTATCCAGCCGACTGGTCAGCTAAAAGAAGTTTTTCATCCTGCATGGAATTTACTGAGTAAGTCACAGCTCGAATATTTAATAATTAGAACGAGCCAAACTTGCGTTTGGATTCTGATGGGAAAGGAACGTCAACTACTGGTGCTATAATACCAACTGCCTCTTAATTTTGAGATAAACATCTTCAAATAAATCTTGTTATTTTGGGACAGACTCCGTTTTCACATTTTACCCTTTCACGAAAACAAAAACCGGATTAATGCACTGCAGATGGTTGACATTTTAGCCAAACTAAGCGGCTCCATTGGGTTCTTGAGCAAATGCTAGAGCAATGTTGGGAAGACAGTTTTTGGTTGCGTGTTTCAGGTATCATTTAAAAAAACTGTTTAATCTCATTTAGGGGTCAGAAGTGCTTGTGAAACTGCTGGGTCGGTGGCGCGTCCTGACTCGCCCCGCGTTTCTCCCTCATCGCCGCTGCCTTCACTCCCCTGCCTGCGATGTCGATTGTCTTGCTGATGCCAACTTCGTCTCTTCGATGAGACGAAACATCAAGGAGCGCTGTGTTGCGGTCAATCTTGATGAGATGGTTAGTGTTTCCAATAGAGGTCGACGACTTTCTGATGTTTAAATTTGACTTTAGTCGATCCTGCGATGCACACTTTGTCCACCTTCGCGTTACTAAAATTTAAAAACATCAAAGAGCGCTGCGCTGCCGCCGATATTGATGAGATGGTTAGTTTTTATTCAAATGGAGGCTGGTTTCTCGCTGTGCAAATGTAGCTTTAGCTGATCCTGTGCGCATACTTTGCAGAACTTCGCATGACTAAAACTTTGTGAGCGGGAGATCCACATTTAAATGTAACATCCTTCGACAGTCTATGAATTTCCATATCTTTTATATCAGTATCAGTATCAGCTCTAATTGAGGTATCAATCGGAACCGGTCATATTGTCCCTCCCCGCATGACAGGGAATAGGAGTGTCGGAGAAGAAGAAGATGTGATCAATGGGACAAAACTTTTATTCGTCTGATGTTTCGACATCCGTCACAGATTCTTCATCAGAGACATCAACGGAAAACAGCAACAGAAGCGGGTAATACATGCACAGGAAGTTGCAGTATTTATAGGATATAGTGAGTACTGCATACTTATGACAACGACAGTTAACGATTATTGCCAGTCTGTAGACAAGGAGAACGACCTGCCCAATCCATATTCGTTGCTGAGGTTCAATTTGGCCAAAACAAGTCACCACTTGGGGAAAGCACAGTCCACCGCGTCGTCTTGCACCGACACCGAAGAACCAGATGGCTGAGCAATCATCACGCTCAATTC